TCTGACACATCGTGATATGGCTCGGTACTCCCGAAGGGGGGGCTGCCCCTTGACCTTCGGGGCCCCAAAACTACTGCTGTTTCCTGTTTCCCCCAAAATTACCCTTTCCTTTAACTATTTTAAAAAACCCAACTATAAATTCCTTTATCAACGCCCAAGTTGTAAATAAAATTCTACCGGGAGACCCTCAATACCGGGAGCTTTTTCCCCCTTTCCCCTTCCCCCCTTAAGCTTCTCTATTTCCCCTGCCCTAAACGTCCCCCCTAAAGCCTTTCGATCATATTTCCTAAATTACAGTCACATTTCGTACACACCTTTTTCCAATCCCCGTCCCCCACCCCCCCCTGTTTCCGTATTTCTCGTACCAAGCCTCCGCATATGCACACTCCCTTCGTGGTTCGTATCTCCTGCCCTACTCTATAAATTTCCCCAAACCCTCTCCGTTACCTCTAAACATGGTATAGCCGTCAGCGCCCGCCTTTGCTTTTGAGCCGCAAAACACACGCTGCGGCTTGTCGCCCCCCAAAACACTTCCTCCACCCCCGCCTGCATCCTTACAGCTTGAAACCTTTTTTTTTTTGCAACACCCTCAACCCCCCTTTATTTCAGTTTTTCATCCATAGGAAAATTATTCCCACCCACCCCCTCCCAAGCAAGCTCTTAACCTATCCCCTAAAAAGTTAGCCAGTCCATATTTTAAATTATTAATCTTTTTTCCCTTTCCCACATAAAACTTTTTAATCCTTTCCTTTGCGCACTATCCCACCCCTGTCACAATGTCATCCACTCCCTTTCTTCCCCCACAAAACTCCCTCCCTAGGAGAAAACCCCTCCAACCCCCTCATTCCTAAAAACACTTATATTTAATTTTCCCAAAAACTTCTATATTGTCCGCGAAGGTCCCCCCCCCAACTCCACCACCATGCCCCATGATCGAATTTTAGTCTCAACAGTACGAAAGATTTTCCCTTCACTCCCTGAAAAGGGACACTCCTAGTCTGCAGCATAAAACCCCCCTAACAAACGTATATTCAGTCTCCCACACCCCTCCCCAAAGGGATACGTAACCTAAAATCCCCTTTTAAAACCCTAAGAGCCACAGACATATATCCAGCTCCTCTTGGGGGCCCCTCAGCCACCCCGATTAAATATTCCATCCCCACCAACTATCGCCCCTCTGGAGTGCATTAAGAAAAACACAAGATCCTCAACACAAAATCATTCTTTACCTTTATGTTATTTTCTGCCCGGGGTAACACCACAAAAGACACCGCTTACCCATCCCCCCCCATCCCACGCAACACCCTCCCCCCCCCTCCTCCCTCGCTCCTCTGCAAAAAAAACGGCTGTCTCCCTTATTAAATTCCCCCACCCCCTTTTAGAGGGAATGGGGAGGTAACTACCCCAAATCCCCACCCAACACCCTACCCTCTTTGAAATTGTGCTCCTGCAGGGAAAACAACATCCACTCTAGTTTATTTAGAAAATTACGAACAATCTCTCTTCATACCCTACATAAACCCTTAAAATTTTCAGACATAACCCAAGGCCTATTAAAATTTCCACCCCCGCTTCCTCTCATCACTCTTTACAACTCCAGAGCTTGAATTTACGTTCAAACCTTCAGAGTGCTCCTTTCCCTCCCCCCTTCTTCCCGGGGCCTCCTATCAGGCTACCACACCTAAACCCCTACCTTCCACTTTACCCCGTCTTTTCCAGGCTTTGTGCAGGCGTAAGGACGTCACAGAATCTGATTAAACCCCCTCTTTTTCGTGAAGCATGTTAAATATCTTGCAGATGTTACCTCTCGATGAACCTCCCCCCTCCCCCTGAGAATGGTGTAATGAGTCAAGGGTGACTCCAAACCCCCCACACGTCCCCAAAATTTTCATGTTCCCGACTTTCTGGGAAACGCGATTCTCCCAAAGCACCACGCTCCCCCCCCCCCCCCCCCCCCCCCCCCCCCCCCCCCCCCCCCAGGAACACCCTTGGTGGGGGCAAATCCAACCCCACCATCCTTTCCCGAACCCTTCTCGTAAAAAAAACCCCCCCTCCTCCTTTTTTCCCAGCCACCTTTTAAGAGGGGGCGGCCCCCCAACCCCACAGTCTTGTTGGCCGGTCCCCTATTGCTTCCCACAACCCACTCTCGTTTTTGGGGGCCTCCACCTGGCCAAAATTTGGAAAAGGAGGGGCCCCGCGGTTCCCCAAAACCCCAAAGGTCCGGCCCCCCCTCCATTTTTCAAACAGTCCCATTACTTCTCAAAAACCCATTCGCCTCGTCCCTTGGGCCTTTTGGTAAATTACCATTACCTGCTCTATATTTTTAAAGGACATGGGTTTGGTTTAATTTGTCCTAAAGGGGATTGATTAAAACCTTGGAAAACAAAATGGCTCCTCGCCACCTAACATTTGACCCCCAACTCCCATACTTTCAAAAACTTCCAAACTGGCTTTTGTTTCCTTTTTTAAGGGCCCTTCCTAAATTTTTTTTCCCTTAATAAACCGGCCCTCTTTATCAGTCCCCCAAATGTTTTTCGGGGGGGACGAAACTCCCCCCTGACCGGGAATAAACGGCCCCCCCAAACCGGGGGGGGAGAGCATACCCAAACCTTCCCCTTTTCTTGGTTTAATTGGGGGGGGAAAAAAGTATTATTTGGGGGGGTTCATTATTGTTGATTTGCATTTGTGGGGGAAAGGGGGAAAGGGGTTTTAAATAGTGAGAAGGGGATTTTTCGTTTTTTAAAATTTGGGGCCTTTGAGAACTATGGGAGGAGGTGGGACGGGGGCCAATATAACCACTTAGAGGTTTTTTAATTTTTAAAGGGGGGGCTGGGGGGGAAACAAGGAGGGGGTGCAGGGGGAAACGGGGGGCCCTCCTGGTATGTGGGGGTAAATGTGTAGAACTTGGGGTATGATGTGATTCTGGTTTGTGACGAGTATACCAATATATGTGTTTATTTTGCATGGGACATTTTTTCTATGTATGTTATTCATTCATGTTTTAGGTTCATGTTTGGATCCTTGTTTATTAATATATTCTGTGTTTGATGAAAAATTGTTTTTACCTTTTTCTCAAAATTACGTTAATTGTATTTAAAAGATAAGGGTCCCCACTTTATCATTTTCAAAGTACAAAATACATTTTGGGTTTTTTTTATTAATATATAACAAGCAAAAGGAATTATCGTTTATTTTGGTTATCATAGGTGTGGGGTTTTCATGTATGGGTGAGGAGGGATATTTGTGTATCTCAAGTTCATGTTTGTGTGGGGGTTAAAGATTTATTTTGTGAAGGGCTTTTTTGTCTTTATCTATTCTTTATTGTTTGTTCTAAAAAAAATATAAAAAAAAAAACTGTGATCACCCCTATATCAATTTTAAAATGAGCTATATGACACGATGAAATGATGGTAACACTTGGGAACAAACTACAGTGTCCTTTAAATAATGATAAACGGATCACTTCCCAAAAGCTAGCAAGGGAAAATTCTTAGGAATCCCCCCTTGATAATAGACCAAATTTCATCACATATACAACAAATTTCTAAGAAAATTTCAAACTGTAGGCATACTATCGAAGTACGGTCTATGCCCCCAAGTCAGCCCCCTGGCCCTATATCACTCTCTTTTTTCCCCCATCTCACCATGGAATTTGTGCATGGGGCTCAAAAACAAAAACCATCTCAGACCACTAATTAACCCAACGGCTGCAGTTGAATGATAACAAATTCTCACTATGGGGCAGCACACTCCACCAATTTTCAATACAAAAACCTATTCACCATACAAAACATTCATATTATTACTGCCCCTATTAATACAAGAACACTTAACTCTGATATTAACCCTCCCCTCAAACCTCCTTCCCAAACCTAAAACGAACACATGACCATAACAAGGCAAGATCACTCTTTGATGTTTCCTGTGTCCATCTCACACTTTGCAAAAACCAATGCACAAAAAGGCCAAAAAATCTGGATAAATCTGAAAATATAAAAGAAACAACCTTTTTTAAAAATTTCAAGTCTCTTCTCAAAGATCACTTACTCACCCAAAACCCAAAAAAATACTAATAATGAACCTTATAAATTGTATATTTTAAATGTTTCTAAAATTAAAAATCACATAAATGTTAACCAAAAACCCCAATCTAACTTTATTTTTTTTAAAATACACTCCTAACAGAATACCCATTCTACTGAATGTACAAAAAGCATACGCCCCTATGACCTGTCTTGTTTTACTCACTTTTGCTTTATAGTAATTGTTTACATTAAGTTTTTTTCACCCATGTCATCATTTTGTTCATCTTAAGTTAATTTTTTAAACCAGACCCGTAAACTATGCATAGTATAAAATGGCTTTGGCATACTGCTCTTTTTTTTTGTATTTTTTGCCCTCTGTATGTGTGCACAAATTTTAAATAAATAAATAAATAAAAAATAAATAAGAAAGTAATTTCACTGCATGGCGAAGAAACGTGGTAATACACGAAAAAAATTGTTTTAAAAATTCCTTTATCTTAAATATATTAAAATTTTAAATTTTTGTAATGAATATTTACTATAATAAAGTAAGTTAAAATTTTAAAATTTATAATTTTTAAAACATACATTTAAAAATATTTACATAAATATTCTGAAGAAAATAGTTGTGTTCAGTTATGGGGTGGGGTTAGCGCAAAGTCGATAAGCCAGATCGAACATGCCTAACCCTTCTGGGGTAGGGTGGGTGCCTGAGCCCGAGCCTTTAGCTCATAAGACTGTCATTCCCATTAGGCCCTTGGGGGCGGGGATGGCGGACCAGAGAGGCCCTAGCTTGTGGCTGGGCCTGGGGACAGTTGGCCCCCAAAGATGAGGAGGTATTTGTGCTCTCCCATGGGAACTTGGTCTCAAAACACCCCCTAAGAGGGACCCAAAGGGCCCGGGGCCACCATTTGGAAAAGGCCCGGGCCGGGAAAATACCGGCTAATCTTTAATAATAATAATAATCGATAAGCCATACTTACCTGGCACAGGAGATACCTGATCACAAAGGCGGTTTTCCCCAGGGCGGGCTCACCATTGCCCCGGTGGTGCTGCCCCCTGCGATTAACCCAAATGTGGTTAACTCGAGTGGAAATTTTTGTTAGCAGGGGCCTGCGTTCGCGCTATCCCCTTATAAAGTTCCAATTTCAAAATTTTTGAGGTATGGATGAACAAAGGGAATGTTTTCAATTTGATTTTTATTTCCTTTATCGTCATTTTTTTTATATTAGAGAACACCAATCCCAAAGGAACATGCACTATCAGACTATTGACATTTTTTTTTATATTTTATAAAAGACAATACAATACATTAAAAAATAAAAGAACACAGTATCGAATCTTCCACAGAAATTACAAGTTTTCATTGTCGAAAAACACACTGAACGTTGAAGATGTTGAAATTAAACTTGACGATCCACAGGACTAGGCTAATTTGATGAGTGATGTATGGGAGAAAATTCTCTCCCACAATAACAGTCGTCAATTTAACAATAATCATTATCAGTTGGTAAATGAATGGAGAGATGAGAACTTGGATGATCTACAACCACTACCTTCCATCGATACTTCAACTCTTAAAGATACCCACCGCTTACTAGACCTATTACTTTATAGAGATGATCGGTTTATTGGGAATGCGAATAGACCCCCTGGCCTCTTGGAAAACAATAAAACAAATAAATTTCCCCTTCCCAGAAATTGAAAACGTCTTTGGTAAAATCTTTAACCCTTTTTGGGCCCTCGGGAAATTTTTCCAGTGGTTTTTAAGACTGCTAGGATGATTTTCTAGGTAGCCCAAAAAAGACATTCCCCAAACCCGGGGAACTTGACCTATTCTTTACTTGAAGTCACGGGAAAAAATTCTTGAGGTCTTTTCCCCAAAAATTTGAACTACTATAGGGAGTTTAATCACTTTTTTTTAAAAAAAATTTGCTTTAGAACACTTTAAGGTACCAATCATGCAATAAAATGTTTTTTGATACTGTAGAAGTCAAAAACATCAGGGGAATCTTCCCTTAAATTGCCCCCAGAGATTTTCAAAAGCTTTTGATGTTATGGCATGATGGCCTTATATACAAACTCATTGACTCCCGACCAAAACGGGACTTTCCTCAGATAATTTAAAATTTTCTTAATCAAAGAAAAATCATTCCCACCTTTCATGGCAGGTCGACGACCCTTTTTATACCGACGCTTGTCCCCCTTCTTTTTCTAGCCACTTCTTTTAAATTTAGTGAATGACCTTCCTCAACCAGAGTTTGGTGTAATTTTACCAGTTTTTCAAAGATGTTATTCATGTCGTCTATCAGCTACGGTAACAGGAAAATAAAAATATGAGAGAGTCATAGAAAAAAAGAATATTGAAACTCTCGAACATCTAATTGAGAAAAAAAGTGGAGAATTACGAGTAATCCTGACAAGGTCCTTGTTACACGATAGGATGTTTTGCATAACAATTGAAGAAAGGAGGTATCTCCATAAAGGGGACACCTGTACCTTAGAAACCCTAACAAATTTTGGGAAGAAATAGGCTGCTCCACTCAACATCTCTGTAACAAAAAAGATAAAACATACCCAAACCCGGTCTTAGCACTTTTGATTCAATCAACCCCCTCAACATGCAAAAAACATTGTAAAAAAATGTTTAAGCCTGTACCGAATCCCCTTTGGTCCCAATTCTTTTAAAAACAAAGCCAAAACATGCTAGGGGTTACAAAGGGCCAGAATGGCTCTTCGTTTATTACCGTCCCAGGAGGAGAGACAGGTTAAAATGGCATTTTACACATACAAGTTTTTCCTGCCATAAATGTCGCCTTGACCCCCTAAAAAAAAACAACTCAAACAATGCAAAAAATATACATGCCAGATAGAGAAATCCTATACAAGTGGAAAAACCCACGGAAATTACCATAATACTCCTCCTCACGGGACTCAAAAATGACTCCCCCCAAAAGGGTCCGTCTTTTTATACATAAAGATGTTACCCCGCCCCATGATTTGAGCAACCCCCCGATGAAAAAGATTGGGTAACCCCAGAACCCTTCTATTTTAAACTGAAACATCATCGCCCCCCAATTAGGGAGCATCATTAACAATCTAATGTAAAAATTATGCAATTTTAATAGGGTGGACACCACCTGTAAAAAGCCATTTTTCACGGAATTCTATAAATGGCCAGAAAATTTTTGCCCTTTATTGTCGAAAATAAAAATCCTTGTGCAATGCAAAAAAAAAAAAAAAAATTGCAACTTTTATAATTCTACCATTCAGAGTCATGACTTATATTCTGTTTATCTTGTGACTCTGAGGGTTATCTTATACCTTTTTAAAGAATACTTATCATTTCACGTACACTTTTTTAAATTTCACCAAAGTTGTTGGGCCATTCCTTTTATCCTACCTCTCTCCCCTCTCCCCCCCTTTTCCAAAATTTCTATCCTTACCCCTCCTTTTCCTTCCCCATCTACCAAAGCTCGGCTGGATACCGAAATACCGAAAACCTTAAGTTATTTACTTTTTTTGGGAAAATAATCCTTTGTCGTCACTAGTTTTGATTTTTTCCTTTTTCGTTTTAGTAATTAAAATAAAAATGTGACTTTTTGCCCTCGGGAGTCCCGTGATATAACTTTAGAAATGTATCATCAAGGGGATTCTGGGGGTTTTAATAGGGGGACCCAAGGCCCTAACAAAGTACACAAATATTTTTTTCTGGGGTTATCTAAGCAAGCTACACTGTGTACCGTATTGAAAAAACTTTCATTTAAATTTTAGTGTCATATATTTCCTTAATAGCAATGCCAGAAACATTAGCATAATCAGCGGCTTTCCAGTTAATTATATTCCAAACCCAATGAAAATAAGTCACTGGCTTTAAATATTGGGATATCTTAGGTTTAAAGTTAGGTACAAGAGCCGTAACACCCATATCCCCCCAGAATCACTTAGAAAAATTTTAAACATAAATTAGAATGAAGTGTAAAATAAATCCCATCCTATCATAAACTTCCCACCGGACTTTGGTGGAAAATCCACTTAATCAGCAACCATTCGCTGCCTGAAGGTAGAGTGCGGTTTTTGCTCTGCACCCCCCTTTTTTTCAGGCGAGGACCCTTTTAAAACATGGCGGAGTGTGAGGAGGTCGTAAATACCATGGTATTAGTGCTTCGTGGGGGGGATTTCACCCCCTTCGCGCAGGTATTCTCCCAACAACATTAGGGAGACCTATGGTATCCCGGACGATGAGGGTATGGTGTTGGGCCCCCGAATGGGGGTTACAGAATCTTTGTCAAATGAATCCACGTCCCTGTACGAGTCTTTTGGGGACGAGATTTCCCAAAACTGAGTCTTGACCTAATACAGCTGGAAGGTGCTTTGATCGAGTATCTCGCCCCTTTCAGGGTTAAGATTCGTAAAGTCCCATTTGAGGGGAGATGGGTGACATCAGGAGTGTTTTTTAGGCAAAAAGGGCCGTACTCTGGCACAAAGGGCAATGGATGGCAGGGCTTTCATGGGCCGTTTTGGGGGAACCTTTTCCCTGAATGACTCTGAGACTCCCATACCCCTTACGTCGTGTTGGAGGATTCAGGACGCAAGTTATGGTTTTCGTACGCCGGACGAGAGTACGTGCAGAATATGTGGGGCGTACGACCAATTGGCGGCAGGTGGTGAAATGAGAAGGGCGCCTGCACAAATGGTGAAACACCAGTTACCACATAGAGCTGTTGTTTTAGAGCCCCCCCGCGAAAGCAAGGGCTTGGGCGCTTGTGGAGTGAAAAGGGGGAGGACTCCAAAGAGGGGACTGGGTGTGTGAGGTAAGCGTGACGTTAAAAAAAATCTGTTACTAGGCAAGGGAAAAATCAGAAGTGCAAGTGCGGGGGAGGTGCAGGCTCTAGAGGAAGACTTCAGGAAGTTTTAGGACATTGACGCCGCCGCAGAGGTGTTGTTCATGAGCGGTGAGAGGCACGGCGTTGCCGTAGAGGAATGAAATGAGAAAACCATAGCAGGGTTGATGAGCCAACTAAAACGTAGTGGTGCCGTGTGTTGGGAACGGGGCGTGGTGGAGGTTGAGGTCATTGTGGGGGAACCCAGAAGATAACAGGATGTGGAGGGCTCCAGGAAAAGAGCGGCGGCGTCAGACTCGATGTGTCCTGACTCCGGCGCAGAGGTCTGGGGGGAAAAGGGAAAAGCACTGTCGGGGAGTCATGATAAGAGGCATCGCAAAAAAAGGGGGGGGGGGTTTTTTGGTGTGAAGCCTTTTGTTTCTGGGGCAGGAGGCCCTGGGTGAAAGAAAAGAAGGGGGAAGGGTTGGAAACTATAAAGAGGCCCTTTGGGGTATGATGGAAAGTAAAAGGGCTGTGTAATTTGTGTGAAAAGGGACTGGTTTTGAATGTTTTGTATAAAAATAGGGTGGTGTATGTTCCTGCAAAAACAATTTCAAGGAGGGAAAGAGCTCGGGGGGAGGGGGGTTTTTAGGTCATGACTCGGCCCCTCTGCACATCTGAAAAATGGTGTGGGATATTTATCAGGGGGCGAGCCCCTTTGGTTTGTAAGAAGTGAGGGGGGAGGGGGGGGGGTATTGGGGGGTGGATGGGTGGTGGATGGGGGGAGGGTATCCCCTTTTTAAGGTGTATGCACCAGCAGAAAATGATGTGAGAGTAAAAGGGATTTTGTATGTGAAGAACAATTTTTTCTTACGTGGTTTCCGCAGTGGGCCCTCGTTGGGGGGACTGGAACTGCCCCTTTATTGGAGGGCGAGTGGGAATGAACTCACAATTTACAAAGGAGTTTATTACCTTGAAATTGTGAGTTCATTACCCCTGTAAATTTTCAGCTATCAAAAATTTGGAGTCCATCCCTGGGCCAATTATGTACCTGTAATTTTTTGACTACCGCACACGGATGGGTTGGGGTGCATAATAAACATATTAAACTAACTGACGTGGAACCAAAAAGGGGCGGGGACGTGTCGGGGGCCCCTTCATACTTTTGGGGGGGATTATTTTGGGGTCTTAATTTAAAAATTTGT